CACACTCTCCAAGAGTACTACTACACACTCTCCAAGAGTACTACTGCACACACTCCCAGAGTACTACTGCACACTCTCCAAGAGTACTCCTACACACACTCCAAGAGTACTACTGCCCACACTCCAAGAGTACTACTGCACACACTCCCAGAGTACTACTGCACACTCTCCAAGAGTACCACTGCCCACACTCCAAGAGCACTTCCTGAACAAATAGAAAACTGAGAACTACCACTGCAGTACAGACCAATGCCTTCTAGAACCAGGAGACATCTGGGCAGTGATGGCGCATGCCTTTATTCCCAGCACTCGGAAGATAGAGGCAGGCAGATCTCTGTGAGTTCAAGGCCGGCCTGGCCTACAGAGTGAGTTCCAAGAGAGGCTCTAATGCTACAAAGAGAAACCCTGTCTCAAAAAAAAAAATCATCCCTGTAATGCCAGCACCCCAGGGCCCCCGACAGGAAGGAGGACTGCCATGAGTTCCAGGCCAGCCTGAGCTTCATGATAAATCTGAGGGCAGCCTGAACTGCAGTGAGAATGTCTTGGCACAAATATACATGTAGCACAATTTCTAAGTATGAAGTAATCAAACAGTTTCATATGTACGGAATACTGGGTAGTGCTCAAGGTTACATCACATAATTTTTTTTGTATTTTATTTCTTTTTTGAGACAAGGCCTTGTTCTATCACCCAGGTTGGTTTCAAGATCATGATCCTCCTGCCTCAGCTTCCCTCATGCTTGGTTTATCAGCATGTGCCACCATGTTTAGTTTAATCATATAATTCTTCACTATTTATCTCATGAAATGCTAAAAAACCAAAACAAAACAAAAAAACCCAACCAACCAATAATAACAACCACCCCCCAGGAACATGGAACCAATATTGGGAATGAAATGGGGAAAGTGCTGAATTTACGTAATTCAAGCCGTTTTATGGCCTGTCAAACTTTCCATTGTAATAATGATGAAGGCTTGATCCTTAAAAAATAGACTTCATGGGGCTGCAGAGACGGCTCAGTGGTTAAAAGCACTGGCTGCTCTTCCAGAGGACCCGGGTTCAATTCCCAGCACCCACATGGCAGATCACAATGTCTGTAACTCCTGTTCCAGGGAATCTGACACCCTTACACAGACATACATGCAGGCAAAACACTAAAATACATAAAATACAAATAAATAAATTAAAAAAATAGTCTTCACAACAAATCCCTAAATCTAGATGAAAAACAGTGATTACACAAAGAAAAACAGAAAAAGTCTTGGAAAACTTTGGTAGTTAAGACTACTAAAATCCACATAACATGTCCAAGGAAGGAAGGAAGAAAGGAACATATAGTGAATGTTTTAATTCTATAGAGGCCTGGCATTATGTCATTCATCATGCCTACATTTTCTTGTTTTGTTCTTCACAGTACCCTATTATCATTACATCAAAATCTAGTTAAAGTAGATGTTCACTTCATAGAAAACCTGTATTGTGTCTCAGCACGTATGAACCCAACATCCATTCTTTCTATTTTAACACCACTCTGGGATTTTTAACATCCCTTCTGCTGTGGATGGTCTTCCTGTATGCAGTGAATATGTTGCTATCATTGGTTAATAATAAAGCTTCTTTGGCCTATGGCAGGGCAGAACATAGCCAGACAGGAAAGTCAAACTGAATACAGGGAGAAAGAAGGGTGGAGTTGGACAAATGCCAGCAGCTGCTGAAGGAGTAAGATGCCAGAGCGATAAGCCCTGGGTCATGTGGTGATACACAGATTAATAGAAATGGGTTAATTTAAAAGTAAGAGCTAGTTAGTAATAAGCCTGAGCCATTGGCCAAGCATTTATAATTAATATAAGCCTCTGAGTGATTATTTTATAAACTGCTGCAGGACTGAGTGGGATGCAGAAAAGTACCCGGCTACAGCCTTCCTATTTTTAGTTTATCTTTTTATTTATCTATTTACTTATTTGTGTTTGTGGATACACATGTGCCGCAAGGCATGTGTGGTAGTCAAAAGGCAAATTATGGGAGTTGGCTCTCTCCTTCTACTTTATGTAGGTTCTAGAAATTGAACTCAGATTGTCAAGCTTGGCAGCAAGCAATTTTATACAATGAGCCATTTTGCTGGCTCCCTTTTTTATTTTTTATTAAATGAAGATCTATGGCCATTTTAATAATCCAATTGTATTTTTAAAAAGTAAAAGTTAACAGCACTATGATCTATTATTAATAGTTGAGTAATGAGAAAGTTGTAAAGGGACATTGTAAGAGTAGAAACACAACTAGAAAGGAGGAGAGAAAAATCAAGCCCATGTTGAGCTGCAAGCTGGGCATTATTAAACAGGCCCAGGTGTTTAAAGTTAATATTTATGTTTTCACAAAAATAGATTTTGTCTGGTAGAAACACATTATTTTAAACTTAATAGCATACACCTTAGTTTAAGTCAATGTTTTAATTTATTTCCTAACAAATGAAATTGCTTATCTGTTTTTCTCCTGCAAATACACTGGCCAGTTAAAAGCCGACTTGGATTTATTTAGGGCCTCATTAGCACCGCTCACCTCGGGACGTGTCCTTGCAATGTATCAGTCCACTTGAAACTCTGAACGTATCGTAATTTGCTTTCTTGGGTAGAGTCACCTGGTGAATTTATGAAACCTATAAAAAATGCAACATATTTTAATTTTAGAACAAATATTATTTGTTCTAACTGAGAATGGTGGTACATGCCTTTAATCCCAGCACTAGGAGGACAGGCAAGTGGATCTTTGTGAGTTCAAGGCCAGCCTGGTCTACAAAGCTAGTTCCAGGACAGCCTGGGCTATACAGAGAAATGCTGTCTCAAACCCCCCTCCCCCATCAAAATGTTTTTTTTTTTTTATTCATACAGTTACTTTTTCAGGTGTCTGAATGAAACTTCTGATACTTTTCTCCTCTCCACATTTTACACAGTCTCCTAATATTAGAATATGTAATATATATATATTATATATATATAAATATATATATGTAATATATATTTATATATATATAAATTTTAGACTATTAGAAAGACTATGTACTACCATTTACAAGGTCACATTCTAAGACCCAATAATTCCAAATATAGCTGGAAGATAAAACTATCTGTATCTGAAAAGTTAAACGTACACTACCACATAGCCATTTTTTAAAAACACTTACCTTTACAAAAGTAACTAACCTTGTAAAAGTGAGAAATACAAGTCTGCTGCATTCTTCATCATTTCTGGATTACAGCTCAAATCAGTGAACAATTCGAGGAGCCGAGTCCTGGATGATCTCAAATCACTTGCATCAACAGACGGTAAAGCAAAGTAAGTTGTGTGTCAAAGACTACGTAAAAAAAGCAGCTCAGAGGCAACAACTTAAAAGCTTTAAGACAACACACACACAGACCCCTGCTAGCTTCTTTACCATGTACCGATTCCAAGGAATAAATTTAATTAGGGCCAACATTAGAAATAAATGAAGTTTCTAGTAACAATCACTTCAAAAGTTATACAAAAATAAACTCAGTCTAATTAAAGGGGCAATGCATGTGCCCAACTGTTGTTCAGATCTTTCATGGTCTTTTAATAAAAAACCCAGAGCCAGATATCAGGGTAAAAGCTGAAAGATCAGAGAAGCAGAACAGTCAGCCACTAGTTCTTACCTCTACAAAATGCTCAGCCTCAAGAGAGTGATTTCCTGTTTCTTCAGGCCTTATATACTTTTCTCTGTCCTGCCATATTACTTTCTGGGATTAAAGGCATGTGACTTCCCAAGCAAAGGACTGAGATCTCAAGTGCTGGGATTAATGGTGTGTGCCACCACTGCCTGACCTCCATGTGTAATCTAGTAGCTGTCTCTGTCCTCTGATCCTCAGGTAAGTTTTTTAGGGTACACAAAATATCACCACACCCAATTATACAATAAAAATATATAGCAAGTTTTAAAAACAAGACTATCAACCAGGCATGGCAACACAAAGCTGTAAGTGCAGTGCTCAGGAGGCAGAAGAGGGATCCTTAGCTACAGAGCCAAGGCAAGTTTGAATCAGCTCAGGCTACCTGAGACCCTGTCTCCAGTAACACAAACAACAACTGAGTGTATTTAAAATTCATTCTTCATTCTGTTTTTTTGTTTTGTTTTGCTTTTCGTGCGTAAGGCTGGCTATCCTGGAACTAGTGGTGTGGACCAGCTAGCATTGTATTCACAGAGATCCGCCTGCCTGCATCCCGAATGCTGGAATTAAAGGCATGGGCTACCACCCAGCTCATTCTTCATTCTTTAGCCAATAGTTTTGGGGAAAACAGCAATTGTGTATGATTTTAATAACCTTTGAATTTCTGAATTTGGCACTACACACAAAGCATCTGACATAGTCTATGGATATATATACATCCAGAAAATGTACAATTGTATGACCATTTGGTTAAAATACCTAAGTTGTCCCCGCATGCCACTCTTCTTTGTAACAGTGTCTTATACCCACCTTTCCTTCTTGCAACACCACGGTCACAGTGAGCACTGCAGTTTTGAGATGTTCCTCCCCATTCAACATTCCTTCTCTATGTCCCCAGTTCTCTCCCACACATAAAAATACCAGTCTTTGGCCTTTTGGTTTTCTTTTGAGATCTCTATTCTAACATCTTCAATGACTTCCTCTCCTAGATCTATAGCATCTCTAATCTGCATCTATATCTAATCCAGAAGGCTGTGAGATTTCCAGAAATCACATTCAATGGACATTAACTTAAGACATTTAAAATAGGTTTAAGCTGCTGAAGAATAAATTTAAATTGTAAACACACAGAATGCATAGTATATAATATATTCTCTGAATGTTTTCAAAATTGTTTGCAAGTCTTCTCATTCTAAATACATGTTAGTGGGTATATGTTTATACATGTGCAAATATTCATACCTGGGCATGTGTGGAAGCCAGAGGTCGGATATCTGTGTCTCTCACTGAACCCAGAACTTTTTATTTTGGCTGAACTTGCTGGCCAGAGAGCTCTAGGATCTGCCTGTCCCCACAAACATCTTGTGCCCTAGTGCTGGGGTTCATAGGTGTGCTATCTTGTCCATTTTTTTATGTGGATGTTAGGAATCTGAATTCAGTTCTCACACCTGTGCCTAAATTACATATTTCTAAGGCATGTTTTTCTCAATTTGTATAATTTTAAGATGAATTTAATTTTGGGCATGTTGAACTTTGGGTGATTGCGCTAGGGTGCATATGAGTGGGCATGAGCACACGCACGCGCACGCACACACACACACACACCCCAGAAACAAAAGAAGCAGGGGGTCTAACATAGAGGGCAGAGTTTGCCAACTCCTGATGTCAGTTAAACAATTTATGTGAACCTCAGCTCAAGTCCTCTCTCCTATATCACTACTTTGAAGGCATTTTAAATCATAGCAAACTCTCCCTTCTTGGAACATAAGTAACTTACTGTCTGGCCTATTAACAATACTCACATCCTACCTTATGGCTCTGTTGAAATATATAGTTTAACTTGTTACTGATTTAGCCCTTCTGGGACTCATTTACTGATCTAAAATTAAGGATGTAGCCTTGATGACAACCGAAGCTTAAATATCCCATGATTTAATCTTCATCCGTTAACGATAAAATAGAAATTGATCATGAGTTTAATGTTAGGAATGTGTCACACATTTCTGTATTAACCACAGAACTTATAAAATACCCTGAATCACTGTCTAACCAACACTGCTTAAGTTGCAGTAACACTTACTTGCAAATCTTTGAGGCAAGGGGACCAGTGATCATGCCATAGTAGTTAAAAGACACGGGAGCTGTGGCTTTTAATGGGTTCCTATGAAACCAATGGGTCATTTTCTCGAGGTGTGCTATACAGGCAGAAGAGACATAAAAACTGAAAAATTAAGTAGGAAAAAGACATGTAAAAACTGGCTATTTTTACAAGATATATACCCTTATGCATAAGCTAATATACACAAAATGTACACATATAAATATAATATACCACAAATGAATTTTATCTTAAATTGATACTTCAATTATGCCTGTATAAGAAAATAGAGAATTTTGTTCATAATAATTTCAGTGATAAGATACAAAAGAACAGTATAAACTTTAAAATGCATTGAACAAAAATCCCCTGGAGATAAGTGATCTTGCTACAATGTGTTCTCACCTGGGGGTCTGGGGGAGAACCTGAGAAGCTGGCTGTGCAGGGCTCCAGACTACACTTCTGAGAAGCAAAGCTGAGACTTTGGGTGGACAGCTACAAATGAGAAGGTACAGGACCAGATGAGTCTCATTTCCTTAACACAGTCAAATGGATCCCCCCCATTAACACTAAGTCTATTTGAAATAAGTAAGTTTCATATTTGTTTTATTTTCCACATATTGCTGGCACCAAAGGACCTTGGTGGATACCTTTTGTTCTGTAATAAATTGATTGGGTATAAAACTACTAAGAACATTTTTATATAAAATATAAACTGTGAATACAAAAACATTTGAAAAGCTACCTCAATGAAATGTCAACTTTAAAAAATTGTAGCAAAAGAAAAAAGGCAGCACTTGTATGGGTTGTTTTTTTGTTTTTTTGTTTTCCTGAAAGTTTCAGGGTAGATAATGCCTTTAGTAACACAAGAAGGCTCCAAGTCGGAGTCTCAAACATCTCATTAGATTCCAGAAGTAATACAGAAGCAATTCTGATAAGGTAAATGTAATTTACAGGCATTGCACAGATTTTCATTCAACCTTTATTAGGGGGGGAAAGTGTATGGAGGGGTACAGTGTTCTGAAATATCAACATTATGCACCACTCAGGTTAGACTTACTCATGGCCAAACCGTTTTGGGGAAGCACCAGATATTTAACGAACAGAGAAGGCATCATATACTCAGTGAAAGCCTGGGCAGATCCACTTAGGACTCAAACCATTTAAGAAGCCCTTTCAGAACATATCACCAAAACAGCGTCCATACAAACCATCTCCAACACCTGCGCAAAGGCAGCAGTAGGTGAGCCCACTCTACTCTAGGGAAATTTGTGAAAACAGAATTTCCTCGATTGTTTCTTTTAATGACTGCACTCTCCTCCACCCTTCACACACTCGTCGGGTCTCCAGAACTCGGAGGGTGGGGTCGAAGAACGACACACCCATCCTCACGAGCCTGCAGAGCCCCAAGTACAACCCCGAATACATAGAGAGCATCACCTGCCAGACCCCCTCGAACGAGCTCGCTGACACACCCCCTCCCATCTCGGGAGCTCCCCGGAGCCTACCTGCGGTCTAGACACTGCCTGCGCCCACTTCCTGTTTACCGCCCGGCCTCTTCCTCCCGGCCGCGACCCCACGCACCCTGCTCCTGGATCGCGATCAGGCCTGAGGGTGGCACACCGATCCTGTCAACCCCGGAAGGCCGAGCAGATGACTGCCAAGCCACCGTTCTGTGTCTAGCAAGCTCTCTAACAGCCAAAGGAGACGCCGGGCGAGGAGAGCCGGCCGAACCAGCAGCTAATACCGTCGAGTCTTCCACTGACTACCACCCGGGGGTCAAGGGAGCTCCTGGAAGGGGGTGACCCTCCTGCTGGAGTGCAGGGACTCGAGGGGAGGGAGATCACGGGCTCACACAACCGCTTGACATGCTTACCGGGGACTTCAGAGTCCGTACGCCGCTCTTCCTGCTGGAGGAAAAGGAAGGCGGGACGGAGTCCGCCAGCCAGACAAGGAAGGCGCCGGTAGCACCGAGACAACTGGGCTAGAGCGGCCGGAAGCGGGGCCAGCCGCTGGCGGGCGTCACGTGACGGGGGACCATGACAGCGGCGGAGGCTGCCGTGCGTGTCTCAGAGGGGCGGGTTCGGCCCCCTCGGCTCGCTCCGTCGGCCGACCCTTCCCAAACTTCGCCTGCTCTTACCTCTCCAGATCCTGTCTGGGTCCTAGAGAGGAAGGGACGTGGCGCGGGGAGTCCCCGAGCCAGGGCCGGATGCCGCCGTAGCGATGGCCTCGGCCGGTTGGGGCGGCCTCAACCTAACCGGGGCGTGGCTTAGGGGGCGTGGCCTCGGCGGGGCGGCCGCCTTCGGAGCTGCAAAGTTTGGCTGTGGCGGCAAATGGGTTTGGGCGGCTCCTCGGCGGGTGGCGGTGGTGGCCTTAGCGGTTCCTCCTGGCCCTGTTAATGTCAGGGCCGAGCCCGGGGAGGATGGCGCCCTAGAGCCCGGCCTTGCTGGGGTAGGGGCGGGAGGGGGCCGGGCCGGGGACCGGCCATGTCGGAGGTGACCCGGAGTCTGCTGCAGCGCTGGGGCGCCAGTCTTAGGAGAGGCGCCGACTTCGACTCTTGGGGCCAGCTGGTGGAGGCGATAGACGAGTATCAGATGTGAGTGACTAACCGCGGGAGCGGGCCGGGCAGGTCGCCGTCCCTTGTCTCTGCCCGGGTCTCGCATCCCCGTGTCCCGCAGCGCAGGCTTCTTGGGGTGGGGTCCCCCCGCAAACACCAGGGCTGAGATCCCATGGGCCCTGATCCGGCTGCTTGGGGACCACCCGTCCGCCCTCCGGGCAAGCTCTCGCACCTCCCCTCTTCTGCACAGGGCCGTGTCCATTCAACAGGTAGCTGGGGCCCCAACTGGCTCTCTCCTTAGTTCCCTTCGACCTTCTCACTGGGCCCTGGGCTCTGCAGGCAGTCTCCTTTCCTTCCCGCCGCCTCTCCCAGGTTGCCACCCCTCCAGGAAAAAAAAAAAAAATCTGTCTTTGAAAATCCCCAGGGAATACTTGTGTGCTCTCCGCCCACGTTCCGGGGATGAGTGGCCATGTTCTGCGTGTGTGTGTGTGTCTTCCACTCTCCACGTGTAGGAGAGGAGGGATGTGCTAGCGCGCGGGAGTGGAGGCTGCCCCCGGGGATGATAAGGGAATAGTTCGGCCAAGAGAAGGATCCCTACTCGCGCTCCTTCTCCACCCCTCTGTCTGGTGAGCAGTGTTTTCACAATTCCAACTCGATTTCGTTTTCGATTTCTGGGACTGTTATTTGCTAGGCTGTTGAGTCCCACCCACCCTCTCGCTTGGCTGCTTTGGGTGGAGTCCGCGCAGGATGTGAATAGAGGGGAGCAAAATGTGAATTAATAGACCAGGCACAGGAGCAGCCACGCCCTCCTTGGGTCCCTCCCCCTTTTCCTGTGTACAATGTATAGCCTCAGGGTACATGTGAGGACTGGTTTCCTTCATCCACCCAAGTCTCATTATCTCTTTCTGGTGCCTTCCACTTTAGAGACTTAAAAACAGCAACAACAACAAAACTGTATAAACATCTTGCTTAGTTTCTTGGACTTACTACTAAAAGAAACTGCCCATTAAATGCTATTGTTTGCAAACAGTTACTATTAAGTCTCGGTTTTAAAATTTGCGGTTTCTCGAATTGTGAAACCATCCCCATCTCTCTTTCTGGAAAGAATACAGGAGTGGTACTTGGAAAATCGAAACTTCTATCCTCTCCCTACAATAGCTACTTGTTTTGGGCTAGTCCATGAGATAATTTGGATATATAGGTGTTCTCTGCCCGTCTTAATGGACAGAATGGTCTATAGATTAAAAAACCCAGTGCTCTGGGTGTTTTGCTATGTTGGACAACTACTAACATACATTTTGGACTCCCATGTGATTTCATTTGTTTTTATAACTGCCCACTAGGGACAGAATTCTTTTTCACAAAATTAGAAAACTGGAGTCACAACATGATACCTTTGAAATCTGGGATTTTTTTTCTAACTTCAATCCCTTTCTGCTGATATTAGAATTAATAATAAAGTGCTTTGTTTGATAAAACACTGATAGAGTAATTCTGTAAATAACCTGGACAAATTTCAAGATTCCTTGCATTGTTGCTGAATGTGCTCTTCTCTACCTTGATGAGGTAGCCCGTGAGGGTCTGTGTATATCACACCCTCTAGTAATGAAAGTGGCACACCCTGAAATACCAAGCTGCCTCTCTCTTGTGATGCAGTGGACTAGCAGCTGTTGGTACCGGACAGGAACCCTCCCAATGGAAAGTGAAGAATACCATGTCTAATTGAAATTACAAAGGAAAATTGAATATGCAGGCTGCTTGGTGGGAATGAGAGTAACAGGCACATGCAAATCCTTTGTTGAGTCTCCACACTGACCACTGTACTGGAGAGCTGCAGAGTACTCTTCCAGTTATTATAAAACTGCACTGTCAGATGTCAATAGAAATGCAGTGATTGGGCTAAACTTTGTAACGTTCAGGCTACACATAAATGAGGCCAAGATTTTACATCTTTCTAATCTACCAGCAATAGATACAAGTTGCCTTTTCTCATTTTTTTGGAACACACTCTTTGGGAGGAAAGACTGAAGCCAAGGAGGCCAGTTGGGGACCGTGATAATGATGTGAACAATTACTTAGTCACTGGCCGGATATCAAGAATGAAGGGAGAGGTCTAGGATAATTGGGTTTATTAATTGGGCAGCCATACTGTCTTCATAGCCATACAATATATGGAGGCAGGTTTATGGGGGAATATGGGTGGTGTAGTGTATGTACTTTCCCTTTAAGAATACTGTATTTTTACGCTTATGTGTATGAGTGTTTTGCCTGATGTAGTTTTGCGCACCACATGTGTGCCTGGTGCCTATATGTGGAGGACAAAGAAAACTAGCAGGGTTCAGTTCTCGCCTGCCTTCTACCATGTCTATCCCAGGGTCTGACTCAGATCATCAGATGCGGCAGCTTCACTTCCTGAACCATCTCACCTGCCTGTTCACAGTATTTTTTTCTTAAATCTGCAGAGTATCAGCCAGGAACTGGGGGAGAGAAAACCTGGTTCTTTGCTGCAGATGGTTGAGATGCACTAATTTCTGTCTACAGTGATAAGGTTCCAGTTAGTCGCTTCTGTGCTTAGAGTGTGTTTAAGACACTTCCTGAGAGCAGTCCTGCCTTAACTTGCAGGCACCTTTGTAGGATAAGATGGGTCTCTAGAGAACTTGTGAAGATTTATTTGCCTTTTTGTGAGTTGTGTGCACTTGTGTGTACAGTGGACAGTCTCTATCACTCCACTTTCCTTCTGAGGTCTCTCCCTGAATATTCTCTGCCAGGCTGGAAGCTATCCAGCCTCAGTGATCCCCTTGTCCCTGTGTCCCTGCTTTTTCGGTGCTGCGTTTACAGGTGTGCTGGGATGCCTGGCTAGTTATGTGAGTGCCAGGGTTCGAACTCCAGTTGTCAGGATTGTGTGGCAAGTGCTCTTGACTGTGGAACCATCTCTCCAGCCCCTAGAGAAGAGTGTTGGACTATTTTTTCACCATTACTCATCACCAACTCTTTCAGTTGTCCATCTGATTATCCAGAGCATGTAGCTTTTCCTTTAGTGTACAGAATCAGGCCTCACCTTTAGGACTCTATTCACATGAAATTTGGGTTTATATATTTAAAAGATTAAAGTGTTTTGCTTAGGCTTTTAAAACATTTTTTAAAAAGTTTTTGTTGTTTGTTTGTTTTAAATCCCAGCACTTGAGAGACAGAGGCAGGCAAGTTAGAGGTTAGCATTTTCTACGCAGCCAGTTCCAGGCCAGCCAGGGAAGGCTAAATAGTGAGACCCGACTCAAAACAAAACAACAACAACAAAAACTTTTGAGATACAACTTATACACCATAAAACTGATACATGCTTTACATGTACCAGCTTGTGCAGCTGTCACCACACTGAATTTAGGACATTCTCATCTCCTCCAAAGGTCCCGTGTGCTCATTTGCATTCCCACCACGTCTTGACCCCTGACAACCACTCGTCTATGTCTTGTCTTCATAATGTTGTCTTTTCTGGACATTTCGTGTAATAATCACGTAGTCCAGTTTTGCAATGGCTTATTTTGTATAATCTTTAAGATTCATTTATCACATCACATTTTTTGTTAGTGAACAAAAATATTATGCTGTTTAGGTGTACCACATTTTGTGTGTCCACTCAACTAGTTAGTGAACATTCAAGTTTTAATTATTATCAGCAATGCTGCCCTATATTTGCATGCAATTTTTCAAAATTAAATTTTATTTTTAATTATGGGGGGGCCGGGGTTGTGTGCACACGTGTGCAGGTGTCTAAAGTTGGGAGACCAGAAGTTTGGGTCTCTTGGAGTTGGAGTTACAGGCACTTGTGAGATGCCTGACGTGGGTGTTGGAAACTGAGCTTAGATCCTCTGCAAGAGCAGTGTGCGCTCTGGACCACTGAGCCATGTCTCCAGCCCAGGTAATTGCTTCTGTGAACATGCATTTTCATTCCTTTTGAGTAGATGGATACCAATGAGAGGAATTGCTGGATCTTATGTTAAACGTTTGAATTTTAAAGGAGATCTGTGGAGTTACTGTCCAGAGTAGGGATATCACTTCATATTTCTGCTAGCAATGGGAGGGTTTTTTTCCCATGTAGCTAGAACTTGTTACTGTCTGTCTAATTACATCCCTTCTAGAGGGTGTGTATCATAGCTCACTGTGGTTTTAATTTACATTTCATTAATGACTAATGGTGTTGAATGTCTTTTCATGTTTATTTTCCCCTCTATAAGTCTTTGTGTACCTTCCAAATCTTTTGCCTCTTTTTAAAAATTGAATTATCTTGCATGTACAAAGTTGTGAGTTGCTATGTCTTGGGAATTGAACCTAGCTCCTCTGCAAGAACAATTGAACACAGCTCCTCTGTGTTCTTAACTGCTGAGCTGTTTTTCCAGCCCCAGTGAAAAATATGTCATTGAATGGGCATACCACATTTTATTTATTCACTCATTAGTCAATGAACATTTTAGTTGGTCCCACTTTTCAGTTGTTATGAATAATGCATGTGTGTGTGCAAGTATTTCATGCACATAGATATTTTGAGGTTTTTTTTGGATGTATACCTAGTATAAAATTTCTGGGTCTTATAGTAAGTCTGTGGTTAATTACTTGACAAACTACCTGACTTTTCCATATGATTGGTACCATTTTCAATTTTTTTTATCAGGTGTATGAGGGTCCTGCTTTTTGTCCATCATCTTTAACACCTGTGATTCTCT